ACCGTGCTGTCCGCTCAGAGGGCACCGCGTCTCGCCGTTGCCATGGACTGCGAAATGGGCGTGGCCTACGACGGAGAATCTGAGCTCATCCGCGTCACCCTCGTGGACTACTTCACATCAGAGATCCTCCTCGACAGCCTCGTCTACCCGCAGGTCCGCATGGCGCACTACAACACGCGCTTCTCGGGTGTCTCCCGCCAAGACATGCAGGCTGCGCGATCAAAGGGCAAGTGTATCACTGGCGGGCTGGCCAACGTCAGGGCCGCCGTGTGGGAGTGGGTGAGCGCCGAGACCATTGTCGTCGGACACGCCGTCCACAACGACCTCGCATCACTGCGATGGATTCACCCCAAGGTGGTGGACTCCTTGATTCTCGCTACTAACGTGCGGGCCGAAACTGAGAGACTGGAAGCGGAGGAGGAGGAGAGAGCCAATAAGGAGGCCGAGAAAGCTGCCGCTGAGGCTGCTGCTGAAGCCGTCGCCGAAGGCGGCGTCAACTTGGAGGAAGAAGACCTAATCTCATTTGATAAGCCCGAATCCTTGGAAAAGACCGACGAGGGAGGAGGTCTCGCCGAGAGGAAGCCCCAGAAGCGCAAGGCCGGCGGGCTCTCTCTCAAGGCGCTGACATCCGAGATGCTTGGTCGTGACATCCAAAAGGGTAGGGTCGGTCACGACAGCCTGGAAGATGCCTTGGCGTCGAGGGATCTGGTGCACTGCTTCGTGACCAAGAAGCTTGCGGAGTCGGTCCAGGACGGCGGACCGATCATACCTGGCTTCTGGTAAAGGGGGGGGGGGGGGGAGGATGATGGGGCAGATATGCTTCATGCCTATTCTGAATGCATCGTCTTTCCAGTTTCCAGGGTTGGAGAGGCGGAAAATGCGATTACCATGGCACACGGGGCCTCAGGAGTCAAATGGTTCACATCGTGATAGTGGATAGCTAGCATAGCATAGCGAGGAGACAGCGGTTCTATCAAATCAGATATTCTGGGATTCTTCCAGAGATGGACAACTTTTTCAATGCCATTCGCACCTGCAATTCGTTTAGTATGGGCGGGAACGTCAAGTTTATATGAAAAGAGAGAAAGAAATTTCGTACAGGTCGAGCAAATACTTTAATTCCATGTCAATGCTTTGCTAATTTGATATCGCGGCCTCGAGGCCGAACTAACCTTGCCCCCCCAACAGTATGCCGTGTTGCTCCCAATCTCAGAGAGGACAGAGTGAAATGAAACATCCATAGTCTATCACCGACTAATAACAGGTCGATGAGAATTGGCCTCTAAACGGCCAACGTGTGTTGATCTCCAGCCTAGCTAGGACTGCCAAAAGGGCCACAACCAAGCACAACCAAGCACAACCATCCGCGAGATAGAATACTCTTGTGCTTGTCGCACGCATCCTTTAGACCGTTGCCAAACAATGCCAAAAGGCTACATGGACCCCCCCCCAAAAAAAGTCCAACCAAGCGTTAAAAAGGGTAACCGACACCTTGCCTGTTCCAAACCCTCTGTGTACCGGTGTTTCCCCGCGCGCTCCTGGGTATATTGTCGTTGCGTATCTCATGCCAGCGTATCATAGTCTCCAACTGCTTCCCCCAAAGGATATACGAGCCTGCTTCAACGCCCTCTCGCTTATCAATGCTGCTGTTGTCCGTTTGGTGTGGTAGGCTCAATCATATCCGGGTCCAGAGGTCCCAGCATAGACGCCTCCATGGAGATAACACTCGCCGGCCGACTGCGATGCGAGACGGGGCTCAACATTGACGCTTCCATTGATGCCGTGCTGGCACCAAGTGGTGCGGGTCTCCGATTTGTGTATGCGGGGAAGCCAAGGTTGGTGCCTTGCGGCGAGAGTGCGTTTGCAGTCGATGCGCTGGGTCCGGCACTCGTCGGGGAGTAGTGGCTCGAGATGACCAAAGGCGGCGGGTGATTTGTCGGGCCCCCGGCCGTCGGTGAACGAGTTGACTGCGGAAAGCTGGGGCTGGTAGGGCTGAACAACAAGGGAGCCTGTCCAAGTGGTTGGGCGAACATGGGCACAGCGCCGGCCGGAGGCACATGATTCGGCGGGGGCGGAGGCACACCGTTTTGGGCATTGCCGTTCACAAGGTTTTGTGCCAACAAGGGCTGGCCATCCACTGCCATTTCACTGCCGTCCAGACCTTCAAACTCGTCGTCCTCCGGCACCTCCGCTTCGTCAACTTCAACATCCCCGTTGGTCTGTCCAGCGTGTGCGGCCGTTGCGCGGGGATCGGCGGCTCGACGTGCAGGGAAGCTCGAGAGCCCTGGGAAGCGAGGACCAGGAGAGTCGCGAAGACCCTCGTATTCGGGAGAGGTGTTGAGATAGTCGCGGAGCTTCGTGACGCCGACGCCAGAGAAAACACAAAAGACGCCTCGCTGATGATCCGTGAATTCTGTGCACGTCTTGTTAGTTTATCTGTACACCAACAACGAGGAACAGATATGGCTTACCAGGCGGAGGAGGTCGGCAGAACTCGGCGAATTCTTCTCTGAGGAAAGCGGTGACCCCTGTCAAACTGAGATGGGTCAGGCGTGGGCAGTAGTTAAGCAATTTGATGATACTCTACGATAATGTTAGTGTGCGGAATCGGCAACTTTACATGGGGCGACAACATGCCTTGAGTGTAAGGTTGGTGCAGTAGCTGAGATGGACTCTTTCGAGGCTGGACGAATAGTATTCATCAATGTTGCCATGCGCATCGCGGCGTGCCCGGGGGCGATGGTTGGCGCGAGCGAGCGCGAACACGGACTCGTCGGTGATACTACTGCACTTGACGAGACCGATTCTCTTGAGCTTGGGAAGTTGTGCCAGTTTGGTGACGGAGTCGTCGGTGAGGTTAATGCAGCATCCCAGATCAATGTACCGTATACGATTGCATTGCTGCACGAGGCGTTTGACGGCCTCGTCGGTGATATGGCCACAGTGACCAAGGTGCAAATAATGCAAGTTCTTACCGAGTTTTGAGATGGCATTCACGGCAACGTCGGTGATGTTACGGCACTTGGCCAGCACCAGATTGCGGAGGCGTGGTGCAGCATCAATAATCTTCTGCACCGACTGATCCGTCAGCCTGGCGCAAGATGTCAAGTCGAGAATGCGCAGGTGATCGTAGCTCTTGGCCGGGGGCAGAGTCAAGAAGGCGCTGTCGTCGATGAGCTCACAGCCTGCCAGCCGAAGCTCGCGGAGGGACTGGCCCTTTGAGATGAGGGCAGTGATGGGCTCATTGCCGATCTGAGCACACTGGTGCAAGTCGATTTCGAGGATATTCGGGCAGTTCTCGGCAAATGCAAGGATGGCATTGTCTTGCAGTTGAGCACAATCGTTGAGTTTGAGCTGTTGGAGAAGAGAGTCATGTCAGCGAATGTCCAAAACACAATGCGGGGCGCAAAAGCCAAGCGCGAAGCGCATACAGGCCAGGCCTGCAGGGAGAAAAAATAGGCAAAGGAGCACGGGAAGCAAAGAGCAAACATACCCTCTTGATGAACCGGCAGTTCTCAGCAAGCTGTATCATGCTGTCGTTGGTGATCAAGCGGCAGCCAGAAATGTTGAGACCCTGTAATCTCTTGCAGTGCTCGGCGATAGTTTGGATAGAGACGTCTGTGATGTGCTCGTCGCCTGAGATATCAAGGGCAAGCAACGAGGAGCTGTTTTCCACCAACTTGGTCAAGCCCTGGTCGGTGAGGTTGCGGCAGTTGGTCAGAGTGAGTCGCTCGACACGAGTGCACACGGACAGAGGCATGACACTGCCATCGCTGATCTTATCTGCGAGACCACCGGCAGCAAGGTTGAGACGCTTGATGAAGTCGCGGTATGCGAAGAAGGGCGTCTCTAGTTGCAGAGTAAGGCAAATGGACGAATGATTCTTCCAGTTTGTGCAGGCGGGGCGATGCCACAGCAAGTCGACAGAGTTCTTAGCCCATCGCTTGCATGTCAGCATGCAGTTGAAGAGGTCGTTTGAGTTGTTGAGCTTGGCGAAGATGGAGATGAGGATCTCGCTAGGGAGCCGGTTGACAGCGGGTTGGCACGGATCATCGCTAACCTGCATGTCCTCGATGTTGGGGACGCCGAGTGATGATTGGGAATCGTTGCCGGCGATGAAGAAGTCTGACTCCTCATTGTCGGCAGGGAGTGGCGAGTTTGTGGACGACGAGGATCGCGAGTCCGGCGTGGCTGACTGTGTAGCCATGATCTCTATTGAGGGGGCAGCAGGCCTCATGATGGGCGGCTGCGATGTGCGAGCAAGGGAGCAAACGGTCGGCGGATCGTGGATTCGCGTGAATTCGGTCAGAGGAGAGGGAAAGGGGGTTCGGATCCCCGGTCGGAGAAAGTTCGTGGACTATGGCAAGCGATCTCGAGTCGCTAGTCGTAAATCGTAGGCGCCGTTGGTGTTTTTGTCGTCGTGATGTAGTTTGTAGGGTTGTCGGGTTTCGTCAGGTTGGCAGAATGAATGGCGGGGATTTGTCACCAGAGCGAGGGTTGGAAAGGCGAACTAGTTCCCACGAGGCCGATGGAACACTGGAATACTGACACTGACGCCTGACCCACGGAAGGTGGAAATGGAGAGGCTCCGACAGTGGAGGGGGGAGCCGGGACAAGGAGGCAGGCTGACGCTAAGTCTGTTGTGAGTCCGGTACCTCTCTGGTGTGTGTACTTTGTAGTTGTGTGTGTGTGTCGACTACTGCCTCAGCACATGAACGGGGATGGCAGTACGGAACACAGGCTGTACAGGAGTAAGTACCCGTGCTGGTGCGTTTTGTGGTGCAGGGCGAGGGCGCGGAAGGTATTTTGTGCGACGGAACGGAGTGCCAAGGCAACGGAGAGAAAGAGAAAAGAGTATTCGTAGCAGACAAGACTGCTAGGGAGAGACGAGGATTATTGTCGGAGACGGCGGCTAGAGGAATAGAATTGTATTCTCGATTGGGATAAGTTGGTCTGAAGTCGTGTCGTCGATGGGAGTAGACTGGAGAGGGAGACAAAGATCAGGTCGAGAGTTCGCGTCGCGAGACAAGAGACTGAAAGGTAACCACGGGGCACAGGGTCGTTGGGTGGCAGTAGGTGGTGCGTGGGCTGCGGTTGCGTTTGCGGTGAATCGTGATTCAGGTTTTGCAGCACCGTCTCTCTCCCTGTTTCTGTTGCAGTGAAGCGAAGCAAAGCAAGCAGGAGGGCCTGAAGTGATGCGGTGCGGTGCGGTGCTGTGCTGTGCTGTGCCTAAGCAGTGGGCAGTTCGTGGTGGCAGCGACAGTGACCGACAGGGCGGGTGACAATGACGACGGGGCGAGTGAGGCTAGAGCACCCTGAGCGGCCGTGGTCGCAGGCTCCCAGCTTGCGGATGGGCGGGCGTTCGCGTGTGAGGTGGATTCTGTGTGTCCTGTACGGATATCTAGGCTGTAGCTCAGCGAAATGTTAGCAGTGACTTTGGAGCTGTGGAGAAAGGGAGCGGAGGGATGTGACACCCTTGGGCCAAGGGCCTTGGGCTCTCGGAGGGCTGGCTGGGCTGGGCGGCGGCTGGGCTGGAAGTGGAAACCAGGGGACGGAGGGCTGGGACCTAGGATGTGTGTAGGTACCTTGTTTTTGGGTGGTGCGGGAGGCAGGTCTCTGGTGCTCGACGTGTGTCGCCTGCTGCGTGGAGCTGTTGATGGCGGAGGAAGATGCGGCGGTGATGGGAGGTGGAAGGGGGAGGCTGAAGGCTGAAGGCTGGCAGTAGACCGGGAACCTGCGATGCAATGCGATGCGGTGCGATGCGCGGCAACTGGTCGAGCACGAAGTTGACGATGGCTGCTGCTGCTGTTGCTGCGAATACTACTGTATAGGTAGGCTCTGGGGCAGGCGGTGCTTGTTAGGCTTCGTCTTGTGGCACTTGCAAGGGCCGACTCTAGTGTAGACTTCTAGGAGACTGGAGCATCCGTAGAATAGAATCCAAAGGATGTCGGATCGAGCCGGTCAAGTTCTCTGGGGCGTGGGCGTGGGCGTGGGCGTGGGCGTCATGAGGTAAGGCTGGCGGGAAACCCAACGTTGACGCGTGACCTGCTCCTGTGCCTTGCAGTTGCCGTTCTCCTCTCTTTCCGGTATTTCTGACCTTTCCCGCTTTGCACCCTTTATTCACTTTCTGCTGATGTTGATTTGATTGCAGAGTCCGAGCAGAAAAAGGATGCTTGACTTGTTGAAGCAGGAAGAAACAGCAGCAATGCGAAGAGTCACAGTCAAACTTGGGGATGTATCGATGTACTCATGTATCGATGTACCGACCAAATGGAGGAAGTTGTGTTCCGCAAGTTGGGAAGGACCAGACGGGACCAGGACAAGGGACCGGGGAAGGAATAACGGAGGGGTCGTCAAAGTACTTGTCTACACAGTCACAGTGCCTCGCTACTTCAGTACGTCTTCCGTTCTCATTGAAGGCGACACCACCTCTCATTGGCCGACGGCACAAAAGGGCCTGAGGTTGCGGGATAGGTAGGTGATGATTCTGGAGTTACTTTATTGTGTAGACGCTTCATAAAATAAATGACAAAGCACATGGTTGCTCTGTAGACTATAGATTACTTCTCCCGTGTCTACTGAGCTTCTGGCTCATCAATATACAAACTCGAAACCAGACCACGGGAGACGAGACGATATCCCCGACGTGGAGCGTGGGGCGCTCTCAATGGAACATGCCGCTTTCCCAAGGAGCCATGCGTTAATGCGGCCTGTAATGGAAAAGGTTACCTCTAGCCCTCAAAGTACCTCACTTTCCAAGGTACCTTATACTGCCTGTCAAGAGACATACAGCATTGTGTCACAAAGTCATAACCAACCAAATATGTTGCAGAACGTGCCTGGCGGAAAGAGCATACCTACCTATGCAACCCGAATGTCGTACAGCCCGTTCATGTACTCCGTACAAAAATCCTCTACTGTGTATGGCAGGCGAAGCGGTACTCGAGTCTCGCCTATACTTTACCCAACCTGCGGCATAACTCAATCTGGCAAAGTCCCCTCTAAAAAAGAAAAAAAAAAAAAAAAAAGGTACATTCCACTTGCTACGGGAATCACTCGATGAATTGTATTACCGCATTTCGCGCCAACTCCACCAAAATAAGCCCATGGCATTTACATACAATTGCACGAATGGTCCGGGCCAGGGAGACTGAAGCCGTCGCTTGTTCCTGACGCTACGTCAAGGACGGAATGGTCTACAGCCTCTGGCACGTCTTGTCAGTCCCTCTCATTAACAGAGTTTTGGCTGAGTGTACGTAAGGTACTTTGCAGTGCTACCTTACCTTGAATCGCGGCATTCTTTCTCGACATTCGACTAATTGCTCTTTCCTCTATCTTCAGCTCCCTCTGGCCCAGGTCGTGAGTATAGAATGAGGTGCCAAGTCCTGACTAAATCTTCCCAGGCGTATGATGATGAAGATGATCATCTCCGAGAGGGAAACGCTTCCACACACATTGGTCAATATTCAGAATACGGCAATACCATCAATGCAACACCGGCCCTCTGGAGCCTACCAGGAACCATGACATCTTGAGCTTGTCGGCCTGCCTGCATGCTTACATCCAACCTAATCTCGTTACCCTGACGTCGGGGACCATCTAGCAACTGACAGCATCCCCCAAAGGCTACCTATCTATCGAGTCTCTGCCGCTCCTCGCCCTTCGCCTCTCGGAGACCAAATCTTCAGCAGATACCCGTGGCGCCATCTTCATCCACGCTCAGACTTGAGCTCGAGCTTCGTCTTCAGGGCACACAATCTCCATGGCTGCATCTCGGGGCACAGACGCGGGCCCCCATACATTGTGCTCTCAATGACAGTCTCAAGACATTTCCTCCCACCCTCCCTGCCTTATGAGACGGGATGTCAGGGCCTCGGATGCTCGACTGTAATGCGGTCCGCTCTTCCAGACAGCCTAGACAGCTTATCATAGCCTAGCTTGTTGTTGCCGTTTCGTGAGGATGCTCTTTTTGAGTTTCCATCTCGGCTTCTTCCTCGCTGCTCCTCGAGTCCTCACACTTCAGCACAAGGATGTTGAACACCTCAGGACCAATGTCGTTGGTCTGCTCTGCGCCTGATACCGTTTCACTCCCGACCAACCCGGGCCTTTAAGGACATTCTCCCACCTGGGTCATCCCTGCCTTAATACCTACAATCCGTAGGGCAATTGGTATCTTGCGGCGACTGCTTCAAAGCATGACGGCCGCAAGACCACTCGTTCAATCACATTGGTCTGACGGCATGTCCCGCATGTCACTTGCAAGCATTGTAAAAGGGGACGTCGGACGTCGGGAATCGGTGACTACGATCGCCGAGTTCGCGTCTTCGGTGTGTAGGCCGCGTCGTCTAGTTTCCTCGTCCGTGGTGTCGAGCCTGGGATACGGGAAGATTGGGTGAATGCCAAGCCGGCTTAGACGGGCTTCCACGGCTTTTGGCTTTTCGAATTCAGCTTCTGCGCTCACATACGAGAAGTAGTGAGAGCTCGCAATCGTCGATACTAGGCGCTGCCATTCTCCCATCATCAGACTAAAGGGCAGGCAGTTGGGTACTCGGTCAACGAGGCTCCCGGGCACCCGAGTTCACAGACCTGGAGACATCCTCGAGGTATGGTGGGGTAGGCCGATTGAGTTGGGAATAAGGAATGCTCCCGCAGTGGACAAGAATAGCAACCCCCTCGCGTACCAAAGACAACGTGTGCAGGGTATGCGGGAGAGGATAAGACGTCGGGGACGACCAGCCTGGCTGGGTCTCACCTCATTCGCCATTCAGACGGGCATCAACAAAGCCCTGCATTAGGTGAGGTTGGATTGGCTTCACCTGGTTGGCGGTGTTGGGTGAGCCTACTCGGAAGGAATATCAGATTGCGACGTCCTCACCATCACAACGGCGCAGTCGCAGCACTCCCGTGGTCTAGCCATCTGCGAGGTTCACTTGCAAGACAGACGCACACTTCAAGTGACAGCCCACACAGCCAGGCCAACGTGTGGGAGTGAGCGGTGGCTTCGCGGTCCAGCGTGATACCGTCACGATCCTGGACGCCATCACGCGTGGGCGCTTAGACGGCCACAGACGAGCGACCACTCAGCTTCGCCCATTTCACATTTTCGGATCACAGACGTGCAACCCTGTTGTGATGTAATGGTGGTCTCTGAGCGCGAGAACCCTGGAAGTCTTAGCATCAAGTCACCGAGTGATTGCAGGATCGGCTGTCATGACTATCGAGAGACTAGATCCTCATCCTTTGACTTTTACGCATCCTGACCATTCTCGTGGAACAGATGGGCAAATGCATGTGCCGTGTCAGATCGCATCCAACAACCTAGTTCCAACACAACATCCATCATCTCCATTCAGGACATTTCCATAATCTTGTACGCGCATAAAATAGAAAATCCAGAGTCTTCAAATGGCCCAGTCCAGCCCTTGAGACACAGTAAATCAACTTTTACCTTGCATATGTCGCAGATATTAGTAGATGCACCTGAAGCTCTCCCCTCCTTGTGTCCAGGGACTGCGATCTGAGGCGGAGAAGCGGAGGTGGAGGCGGAGTCGGAGGACATCCGCACAGACCACAGCCAAAAGTGAGTGAGCCGCAGTACGTAGCTTTCCTTACCTAAGCAGCACAAGGAGTACCGGCACGTGACAGCTTTCCGTAGGACGTCATCCGGAGGGGCCGATTATGCGCCGGGCCACTCAGGTGCCTCGCTCGCTGACGTGCTCCAATTTCTCAGGGCATCGGGGGGATTGGATCCAATGGGGAGAGCTCCAATTGCCATGCGATTGACATTGACAATTCCCGACTACAAGCCTCACGTCACGATCAGACTCTCTCCATTGCCTGCGTAGCTCGCCAGTCTGTGCAAAGGAATAGGCCAAATTACACTTGCCCGCATGACCAGGCCATGAATCGTTCTGCCCGACCGGCACCGAAGTCGAATTAGCAAGCCCGGGTCTACAGTTCAAGGTACTGCATCATTGACGGTTGTCCCCGCCGCCCGACCATCCCGCACCATCTGAAGAATCTCGAATCTCCATCAGCCCACTTCCCTTTGTCGACTATTGTTCCTCCACACGGTCCATAGTACCGAGTGACCTCTACCAATTCAACCACAGGCGCACTCTCGCTCGCCGCCTACACGACTCACACACATACTCGCATACCTAATACTCAGATTCACGCCCTCTACCACAATGTTCCGCCCACGCACTCTCCGGGCCCTGCCCAGGGGTCTGCCGCACCCGCAGCCACCCGTCCGAACTAGTCGCCGCACCCTCTTCTCTCGCCAGCGCAGCTCGCCCTCCCGCCCCGTCGAGCGCTTCAACCTCGGCCAGCTCAGCGAAGCCCGCTCCAGCTACGACCGAGACCGCACATACTTCCTCGCCGCCGGTGCCCTCGCCGGCATCGTCTCGTTTGCGTACACGGCCAACAAGCTCCGCAAGGCCCTCGCCGCCGAGAAGAAACGCAACGCCGCGGAGGACAGCGGTAGCAGCGACAATGGCAGCGGCAGCAACACCAGCGAGCGCGCCGGCTTCCAACTCGATTCTTCTGTGCCGGCAGAGACCTTCACCACCGAGGCCGGCACCAAGCGCAAGGTCGTCATCCACGACGAAGACGGCAGAGAGCTCGTGCCGACGGGCAACAAGACGGTGCCCAGCTTCCCGCGGACCATCGACCTCTCCCTAAGCAAAACCCACCGCGACCCGGAAGCGCCCATCGCCGCGACGGTGCAGGACACGGACGGCGTAGAATACACCCTCGTCGGCCTCGGCATCCGCACCGTCAGCTTCCTCAGCATCCAGGTATACATGGTCGGCTACTACGTCGCCACCCAGGACGTCGCCAAGCTGCAGCACTACCTTACCAAGAAGATTAACCCCATCGCGACGACGCTCGTCCCCTCGGAGCGCGACAGCCTCAAGCAAAAGCTGTTCGACCCCGTCGAGGGCGAGGAGACGTGGACGGCGCTGTTGCAGGAGGTCGGCACCCGCAGCGCATTCCGCATCGTCCCCGTGCGCGATACCGATTTCCCTCACCTCCGTGACGGGTTCGTGCGGGCCATCACGGCGCGGTCGTCTGCGGATAAGGAGGCGTACGGAGATGAAGCGTTTGGCGAAGCGATGAAGGAATTTAAGAGGCTGTTTAACCGTGGCAAGGTGCAGAAGAACAAGGAGCTGTTGCTCTGCCGTGATGAGAAGGGCCAGCTTGAGGTCGTTTTTGATGATGGGCGGAGCATGGGCAGGCAGAGCGTCGGCAGGGTGCAGGATGAGCGCGTGTCGAGGCTGCTATGGCTCAACTGGCTTGCGGGCAGCAAGGTCGCTTCGCCGCCGGCGAGGGAGAGCATTATCGATGGCGTCATGGAGTTTGTCGAGAGGCCTGTCGGTACTGTTGCCGCGCAGGTTGTGTAAAAAATGGGAACCAAGAGAAATTTGTAGAATTAGTTGAAAGTAGTCACGGCTCAAAATGTACAACACACTAGACGCGGTCCTCGCTAAAAGGAAGGCCAATGTCATTTCTTGGAAACTTGTATTTTGAGACTCTTAAGCACCCATCTTTATGCCTTTAAGCCCATGGTATATCATCGTCCACCATTCTCACTCCCACCGGGTTGAATGATTGTGCAGCAACAGCTACAACTTGGACGGCCTTTAAGTCGAGCCGTCAGCGTGTTCTGTGCTGTATGCATTCTCCAACCAATTTCTAATCAAACACACAATGTCTGCCCCCTCTTTCTGTCTTTCTCTCTGAACCGAGGACGAAGGTGGGTGCCTTACGCCTTGAGAGCGCCGGCCTCCTTGAGAAGGTTCTCGAGCTTGCCGCCCTTGAGCAGGCCCTGCAGGTCCGAGTTGCCGCCAATGTGCTTCTGGGCGATGAAGCTGTTGGGGACGGTGCGCTGGCCGGTGATCTCGTGGAGGGCGTCCTGGATGGCGCTGCCGTCGTCTGTATTGGTGTCAGTAAGTTGTCTGGGTGCTAGTGTTGGTAGATGAATGGGAAAAGACTAACCAATCTGGTCGAGCTCGAGGACGGTGTAGTCGGCGTTGATCTCGTCGAGGACGGACTTTGTGGCGCGGCAGTAGGGGCAGTAGGACTTTGAAAAGACGACGACCTTGTTGTCGTCGATGAGGGACTGAACCTTTTGCTTGGTGGCGGCCATGTTTGCTGGTGATGTCGAGGATGAGGAGAAGAGACGTCTGAATAGTGATGCCATTTCGGAGGGAGAAGAGTGGTGGAAGGAGGGGCAGGGGCGATGATATAATAAAAGTGCAGCAGGCGACGGGGAGGGACAGAAGGTGGGGGGTTATTTGTCAGGCAAAGTGTCGCAATGCAACAGGTAGGGGCGGGGTGCTGGGTGCTTGTGCTGGTGCTGGTGCTGTGCTGAAGCTGGGTGCGGTTCGTTCAGTTTAGTTGCGACGGGGACGGGACTTGCAGCGAAGGGAAAGGCAATTCGGGGCCGAAGGCGGCGGGAGTGGATGATGCAATCGGGACTCTGATTACCTAAGAGGTAGACTGTGAGGTTCCAGACTGCGACGCAGCTGGTAGCAAAAGCCGAGTTTTCTAGAAGGTGGAGGTCACAGAGTTTAGTGTAACCGTACAACCGTGGTGCGGCTTTCAAATTTCGATACCTTTGGGAGCAGAGACCCGATTTATAAGACACCGGCTCTCCCGAAGCTCACCTGCCTCGGCGTGTGTTACACCTTCTAGGTACCCGTAGGTGTACTGAGGTTTGTCAGCTTTGTTCGGGCTCTTGAGAGCCACCCGTCGACAGCGAGATTCTACACCGGAGATGATTTGATGACCTCGGCGAAGAAGAGAGATGCGAAGAGGCTAATTCAAAATGGGCAATGAGCTCACCTCAGCACCGGAGAGCAAATGGAGGGATCAGAGACAGGCTTGTGCCTCGAGTACCTAGGGTCTGTCGTAAGATGAGGTAAGCATTCAGATAACCGCCCTGGGATGAGGATAAGATAAAGATAAGAGGACCCTGGATTTCGGTGCATCTCGTGTTTCTGTCAATACCTAGGTAGGTACCTTAGGTAGGTACTCTACGTAAGGTACCTTCACGAACACCACCATCTTTCTATGGTTAATGAAAACATGAATGCACCCAAGATTCCACATGGGAGGCTGAGGGAATGAGGCTATCATACCCAAGTTGGGGGATCGATCTATCCGCATCACCCACAATTATTACCCGCGTCTAGCGCCTGACCGCATCCTCGGGCATCCTTACAGCGCAGCACACGTCTCGAGGTTCGTGATGACTGCCCGGTACGGAGTACACGGCAGGTAAATGGGTCAACGCTGTGGACGGGGCATGGCTGCTGGGTTGGGTTTGAAAGTCAGACGGGATTATTCCCGGGTCCCTGCAAGTATCGGCTGCTCGCCGAATCGCAGCCAATTGCTGATTCCGCCTGCCCCAGTTGTCGTCGTGCAGAGAATCCTCGAGGACTGGTGAGAGTTACCTAAGTATTTGCAAACACCAAGCCATTCCCAAGCATGCTTCGTGTCCTCTTTGCCGCAGTTTTGCCTATACAAGAAACTATTTGAAACCTTTATTAACTGGTCCTTCTCAACCTGATATCCAAACCATTACCAGTCAGCGAATCCCTGATAACCAAAGTAACAAAAGGTACGTCTATCTATGTATCGTGACAGCTCAAAGCGCAGAAAGGACCCGTGGCACCGTCTCTCGGCCCGGCCAATGACACCGGGTCCTTCCTCGGCGCGCATCCCCGTCATTCGCTGCCTTTGCGACCTGCCAGGTTTTTTCTAGAACCTCCCCTCCACATCCACTTCCACGCTTCACCATCGCGCAACCTTACGCAACACCATCACTTCCGACCACTCACCTCTCGCCGTCGTCCCCAACTTTCTGCCGTCATCCTCTCCGAGTCCCGTAGGGCCACCTTTGACACACAACCACTCCTCACGCAGACCACACTCGCTCACTCGCTCGCTCACCCAGAACCGGACGCTTCGTCGCATCCCTGCCCGCCGCCCTCATCATCGCCTCTTCGCCCATCCACCACCCACCAGAACCCCAAAAGCTGACAGCGCATTGCCTTCTTTCCAGTCCTGCTTCTACAGCCTCACCAAAGCCAACGAGCCACCACCTGGATCCTTGACCCAGGCTGGTGATCGTCCACGCCAGTTGGAGCCGGATCGAAACTCTCGACGACCCAAGCAGCCAAGCACCCGAATCGAACAGAAGAGAACAGCTCGTCTTCTTTTATCTTTATTTTATTCCCCTTTACCCCACTGCTTCTGCAGCCTTCTTCTCTCTTGGTGCTGCTGCATTGTGTCGACTCCTTTCCCTTCCAAGGACCTTACCAGAGCCTGCGCCGTACTTGCGCCGTACTGTACCACCTGCCTTGCTGCAGAACGGCCTGATCTTCGAACCCCGCGAGTCGGAAAATTCCAGACGAGGGCATCCCCACGGCACCCGACACCCACGATCAACATTTCACTCCCATCCGCCACGATACCAATCACTGCTGTCGCCTTCGACCTTGCCTCACTTCACCTCTTCTCTCCTCCACCTCCTCCCCCTCCTTCTCATCCACTTTTTTCTCTCTCCCGGTTCAGCGTCCTTAGCTTTAAGGACCGCCTACTCCCGCCAAGGTGGCTTCCAGTCAGCCTCTTCTGGCATCTTCTGGTGCACTTCAAAACATCACCGCCTTGTTACCCACCACCCTCCAGGTCTATCTCGACAAGTCCATCGCCAGCCTAGCCAAAGCTATCGCCAACTACTCCGGATACATCTCCGACACCACCGGCATCGATCCGAACCTCATCCTCTACTCCACCATTGGCTGCATCCTTCTCGCAGTCCCCTTCACCATGTCTCGATACGGCTGGTCGACAAATCGGGAACAAATATCCCCTTACGGCTCCACCCTCAGCGGTGTTCCCGACGTTACGGACGAAGACTTTAGCTACATCACTACAGAGGACCTGCAGTCAACCTCTCTTGGTAGCTCTGTCCCGACGAGATCTTACGCCCACAACCCCCGATCCCGTGGCAGCGTCCCCGACGACGACATTCTCCTCATCAAGAACAAGGGCATCACCTACCCCGCCCACTTCCCCGCGTATGCCATTGGCGACGGCAAGCTGCGCGTCCGCGATGTTCGGGACCGAGTAAGCGTCCTGCTGGAGCTGTCCGAGAGACGTGGACGCCGCGTGAAGCTTCTCTACAAGGGCCGCCAGCTCAAGGAGCCCGCTGCGCCCGTCCGGGATTACGGTGTCAAGAACAACAGCGAAGTCATGGTGGTGCTACCCGAGGGCGAGGTGGACGCTGAGAGCAGCGACGACTCGGACGAGGAAATGGTAGTTGTAGGTGGCGATGGCGGCAGCGCTGTGGGCAGCAACGGCGGCACCGATGACGGCAAGAAGCGCCGTGGCAAGAAGAAGGGTCGCAAGTCCAAGAAGCGAAGCAGCAACACCAGCCCGCGTGATAGCGCATCAAATCTCGGCGTCCCGGGTCAGGAGAGACAAAGCTCGCCCTCCCCCAGCAAGGCCAACGGCCCTCACGCCAAGCTCGATGCCATTGCAGCAAAATTCGAGGCGGATCTTCGCCAGCCTTGTGAGGACTACATCGCCTCGCCCCCGACAGACCCCAAGAAGAGAGAGGAGGAGCACCGCAAGCTTTCTGAGACGACGATGCAACATGTGCTTCTGAAGCTTGACGAGGTCGAGACGGAAGGCGACCAGGACGCCAGAATGAAGAGAAAAGCCTTGGTCCAAACCGTTCAGGATGTCCTGAAGCGCCTTGACGCGAGGCTCAAGGCATAAAAGAAGCGAATTGGGGCGTCATTTGGGGGGTGCCTGCTGTTTCTGCAATACGTTTGTTTACTAATAACGGCCTACTTCCGTTGAATTCTTCTAGATGAGCATTTGTGGAGGATTTCTATTCAGTCAAGCTGCATGTTTTATCAAAGCGAGATTTGCATCTAGAGGCATGCCGCGTAAAATGGCGGATGCGATGGGAGTTAGGGACAGCTTGAGACGGGATGCTGTACAACGATGGCCATTGCTTGAGCAGAAGATGATGCTAGGTAATGGGGAGCAAAGACGACGAGCAGAGGCAGAGGCAGACACAGAGGCGCATAGCACGCCGTAGACAGGAACTGCAAAAACAACCCAAGTGTACTGGGATCTTCACTCCATCCATTGCGCACATGATGCATACGAGCACAGCCTTCCAAGTCCTGGACCTGGAACTGGATCTTGGAATAGCCGCATTCTGTCATTGTAGCAGGGCTGCAGCGTGACGTTGTCGACGAGGTCCAGTCGTGGGGATATCCTGGTCTCCCGTTGAACAATTGTGCCATGCTTGACGTCGTTGGCTTAGTCAACGGGTGTCCTTATCTCATGTGACAGAGAGGCCGTTATCGATTAATCCGGTATCGGTATCATTTCCTGCCCGGCCTAGGGACCCAGGGGAGAAAGACGGGAAAGGCCCGGTGAATGGAAGCGGCAGTGACAGACGTGGGCAAGGTGAGTCGTCGATTGGGGTCTGGCCGCCAGCGGATGCCCCGCCACATACCTTACACCGAGGTGAGCCCGCTCTGAAAAGTCAAGGTGAGTCAGCAGAAACCTAACGCTGTGGGCATCGGAAGCGCTGAGCGGATGCGCGCCTTCTGGTAGGTCTTTGCAGCCCTAAGCTGCCTCAGGCCCCACTTCCAACCCTCGCTTGTGATGGAGACTGCCTTGCCACAAAGGGCTAGCGCTATTCATTTTCCTGGCGTGCCATTGGGGGGTTTTGTGTGTGCGTGTGTAAATTTCTCATTGACCTGTCCCCTTCCCAGTTGTGTGCCCGCCCCGATTTCAAGATTGTCGCGACGGCTTCTTCCAAAACTCACCCTCCGACAATACTAACCCAACGGCAGCAGACCAAATCTCTACAGAGGCACCCATTCCGCCCAGAGATTTGAATCCCCCTTTTCCTTCTTTTTTTCAGCAGAACACCGCGAACCGGTGTTTTTAAAGGAACAGGAACGATGTCTTCTTTCGAGCCGGTGGTGAGTCTTTACCGAATTATCTTTGGGGTTCCCGTTTCGAGATATATGGGAGCCGCGGAAATCGACGATGAGGAATTTCGGGATACTTGTAGGAGCGAGGAACACCATGCGATGGAACAATGGCACTTGAATGCAGCCCGTCTTCACGTCAACGCTGCTTCCGCTATTTCAGCTCGCCGCCGCTGTTGTCGCCGGCGCTTCAACAGTCAATCCCGAATCTTCTCATCGGCCGACCGCGAATACATTGTTGGAGATGCAGATCGCTGACTCCAGCACTCTCTACAGGTCGTCATCGACGGCAAGGGCCATCTCCTTGGTCGTCTTGCCTCCATCGTCGCCAAGCAGCTTCTCAACGGCCAGAAGATCGTCGTTGTCCGCACCGAGGCCCTCAACATCTCTGGCGAGTTCTTCCGTGCCAAGCGTATGTCGACTCTCTCTCAACCCTACCCCCACCGGTCGCAACACCCAGTCTGTCAAAAGAGGAGGAAACACCACTGGGAACATGCAAAGACTTGCGGTGCCGACAACCCGAACCGATCGAACATATACTGATGAATGGCTATAGTCAAGTACCACGCCTACCTGCGCAAGATGACCCGTTACAACCCGACTCGCGGTGGTAAGCCAACACACATACACACATATACATCCGGGCTCTGCTCTGTCTCCTAGCTGAGATACTCAACTCGAGGACATTCAAATGTCTGACTTGACCGCTATAGGTCCCTTCCACTTCCGCGCCCCGTCGCGTATCTTCTACAAGACCGTCCGTGGCATGATCCCCCACAAGACTGCTCGCGGTGCCGCCGCTCTTGAGCGCCTCAAGGTCTTCGAGGGTGTTCCCCCTCCCTACGACAAGCAGAAGAAGATGGTCGTCCCCCAGGCCCTCCGTGTCCTGAGACTGCAGCCCGGCCGCAAGTTCTGCACCGTTGGCCGTCTCTCCCACGAGGTCGGCTGGAAGTACCAGGACGTCGTTGCCAGGTATTTACCTCCCACAATGGACCTAGCCCTGGGTTTTTCAATACTGACAAACCCCCCAGACTCGAGGAGCGCCGCAAGGCCAAGGGTGCTGCCTACTACGAGCGCAAGAAGGTTGCTCAGCGCCAGCTCACCGACGCGAAGAAGAACGCCAAGGTCGACCAGAAGACGGCGCAGGCCCTCGAGGCCTTCGGCTACTAAACGTAGTCGACAAATCCCTTCTTGACGTTGATTTTTTTCGAGCCGCTCTATCTTGAGGGAAATGGAGGAGGAGAGGAGGAAAGGCTTTATCCCCGTTGAGCCGCCACCATACCCACCACCAACACCCACACGATAGTCCGACCAAAAATGAAAAGACTCGGAGGGTGATTTCTCGCGCATTTCTGTCCTCTTCCTCGCGTTTCCTCATTAGATTGGCGTGGGCGGTTCACAAGGGAAATTCTTCATTTTGCTGATGGCACAAATGGGCTGGTCATTGGAAGGGGGGGAATTCAAAAATAAGAGATGATTTTGGGGGGTCCAAACGAGAGAGAAGAGAGTTTTTATGGAGTGAGTCCGAAAAGGCTTCGCTTTGCAAAATCATCATCATCCTGTTCAATACCCCCCCGCGCCGCCGTTCTCGGTGTTTTCGGTAAATTCGGTTCAACCACCAAAAGCACACAAATACGCACCAACCAAAAACCCCCTTTTCTCGCAATAAGTCACAACACAAACACTCAATCTAGATGATTCATGTCCACGGGCTTTTTTTATGGTGTACTTTGTCTTTTTAATGGTGGTTGCCGTAACAAGATTTCGGGGTTTTGGCTTTCTGAATTATATGGGAATTGATATCACACACTTCAACAACATTCATCCTATCGATCAATGGCCTCCTCGATCTCATCCTCTTTTTTTTTCTTTCAATCTCCCCCCCCCCCCCTTCCCCAAGGTTTCCCCCTTAGACGAACAACCAGTAGTCCCAGATGAGGCGATATTCGAAGAAGAGCAGACGGAAATCGAACGAACAAAAAAGAACTATGAAGAAGAAAAGTATACCACGGCATTTTGGGAGGGGAACCTTGGCGAGGCGTCTTGTGCTTAGAGAAGTAATTGCATTACAATCATGAAGACTTCATGTCAAAAGATGATATCAAGTGACGATCTAAGTATGCTGATCAAGTGAGTACTGCGGTCTTCCTTGCTCAAAGGTCGCGAGAAAGTGAAATGATCGATGACGGAACATCGAGGAAAGCAACCCTCCGTCGCACTCAAAAGAGGGTTCCACGCGCGAATCTAAAGCACTCTCATCTCAGGAGTGCAGATAGAATATTGGCAAAACCGCGACGGCACTTAGTAAACGTGACATGTTCGCGACAAGACGCGTTAGTGTGCCCTATCTTATCCCAAGTCCTAAGAGACCCGCCGCCAATTCACGGCACAATCTTATCACCCGAGGGTCCAGCTCGGTGTGCCCCAAAACTCAAATGGCGAGGCTCCTGTGAAAATCGAGGCGGAGTAGCTGTTCGCCTGAGTGACAGGCTCTTCTCGTAGACGTGGGTTCCGACTGCAGCTGCAAGTCATGAGCCGTTCGCTGATTGACGGCCCTTGAACCCTTCAGGTGAGGTCATCGAGCGGCGCCGAGGTCAACGCGCAGGCCAGAAAGGGGGACGGCCCTCTTTCGGGCGAAGCCTCTCCTTGGGCTGCGCGGCCTGGGCTGCTCGCTACATGGGCGCACACCAGATCAGCTACTTCAACAATGGGCGATTGGTTTAGTGGTATAATGACCGCTTAGCATGCGGTAGGTCCTGGGTTCGATTCCCAGATCGTCCAACCTTTTGGCTTTCCCGGCTTCAATCTTACCTTTTGCTAATTGTGAATGATGTCCTTTGATGCAATTATATTCTGGAATTTTTCTAAGTGAGAATCAAAGTGTGTTGTATCTTATTGCGTGTATCTGTCCGCTTTTTGTTCACCTGCTCTGAAGGAAGCAGGTGCTGTTTGTGCTTGCCAATGCGAGGCTGAGTGAGCTGGGTGTATGTTTGTGGTCCGTGCTTCGACTTCATGTCAACATCAAGACGCGCCTTGAGTTGCTCAATAAGTGCCGTTTCTTCATCATACAGCAGGCATTTGATCGCTAAATTGAAGATTACGAGTCTTCAGGCTGAGGGTATTTCATAGAGACATTGGAGACTGTGTACAGAGATATACAGCCCGAAATGACACAAAATACTGAAGATCCCATGATTTCCCATTCAAAACCACCAGATAAAGATGGTAATAAAGACAAGTAAGTCACCACAGCAAGTTTAAGCATTGTTTTCTTCGTGAGATTGTTTCCTGACGTGCTTGAAACTCAATGAGAGACTTTATTAATGTTTCTTCGCATACAGAGAGTTCGAGGAGGCATCGGCCGTGGTTGCGAAACACGTCAAGCTCCTGCGGGAGTACAACCAGATCAAGGATGTGGGGCAGCAACTGATGGGTATGGTTGCCGAGAAGAGGGGCGTCACTGTGGGAAGTCTGTATGAGACTCGCGAGTTTGGAGTTGGGCCAAAGGACTGAGATGGGCATGGTCTAGGAGGTGTGCCTCCGCTGAGTTGTCGTCATGTCGAACCGGGTGGAGGAAATCCGCGGCCGACTGTGGCTGCTGCTGCATGCAGCATGAGACAGAACTCTGCGTCTGATTTGATACTGTCAAGGTCTACCGTGACGTGAGTGTTCAACGCGCACTGCGACATAGTCCCAATATTATCGCTGTGTCCGGAGATTCTTGAGCCCAGAGAAGATGTTTGTGACTAATGACGTAGAATTAAATTGGAAACAAAACCATGAGAGGAGAGACGACAAGGTACTCTAATCAAGTGAAGGTGTCTCCGACGGGAAACGAACATACTTCTCCATCCAGTCGTCACCGTTACCCTCCCGATCTTGATCATCGTGTGAACTGCAAATATCAGCCCTGCACAACGCTCCATTAACCTCTGAGCACCTAGTACCTGTAATGTCTTGCAAGTACTGTGTTTCGCCGCGAGAGGAAGTGTCCGGATCGCCAGCCTTGCTGTCTTCGCTGTTTTCGTTGTTCTCGATGTCTTTGATGAGCAATGCCACTTCTGACGGCAACGCCAGGTCATCAGATTTCGCCTCCTCTCTACTAGTTCCACTTGCTGCCTTTATTATCATCTCGGCTCTCACGTCATACCCGGGCAATTGCTGTATGGGCTCAAGATTGTCTTGGAAGTCTTCGTTGTCAGAAGAGTCGCCTTCATCCTCCAGGAGTCCTTCAAAGTAGTGCTCCGGCAAGTTGTACGTCTCGTCAAACAGCTCATGATCAGTTTTATCCCAACGTCGAAAGCTCCGTAACAGCCTTTCAACGGCGAGGCGCCCTCGTTTCCGCGCTAACACAACAGCTCTGATGTAGTGGAGACGGCCGGTTCCTTCAGTCGAGACGCCAGAGTCAAGAAGGAGCTGCACAATGTCTAATCGGCCATTCTCTGACGCCGCCTCTAGCGCAGTTCGCGTGAAATACGCTCCGCTTGGGATGTCTGGATCTGCATGCAATTCCAGCAATCTTTTCACCATGCCGAAGAAACCCCTCATAGCTGCCTCTATCAACGGTGGAGCACATCGAAATTCCTGATGGTACTCATTGACGTCGGCGCCCATGCTAACAAGAGTCTCCACGAGGGTAATGTCGCCTACAAAGGCAGCAGCTCTCAGCGGTGTTCCCCAGAGTTTTTCACTCTCACGCCAGTGCACGGTGTTGACACCGATGCCAGACGACAAGTACCAGTCCATAACCGCGGTAGACTTTCCAAGAATAGCTCTCGTTAGAAGCACCCTGTCCAGTGTGGCTTTGGTTCTTTGTAGAAGGGGGAGGATAGCCAGGGCATGTGGATTGGCAGCAACACGTGAACAATCGACGTTGAATTGGTGGCCATTTTGCACCAATCTGGCGACGCAATCCGGTGAAGATAAGAGCGCATGAAAGGTTGCTGGCTGACGCTCCTCATACTGTCGCGTTTCCTCGTCAATCGCTTCGAGATATAGCTCTTCGTACCGCTGTAAAGACACCTTGGGGGGCCTGTTCAAAGGTACGAACATCTTGGGGCTTAAACCTCGGTATATCATTTGTGGGGGGCACAGTCCTGTCATAAGAATTTCATCGGCCACATCATCGATGCCAATTCTCATTGCGAGACACATCGCTAATCCGAGCCAATGGTGTTCGCTGGTCGGAACTTGAGCATGTTTGCTCAGCTCTAAGAGCTTGTGGAACAGGACCCAGTCAAATGTATACTCGGCCATATACACAGCTGCAAAGACTGTCCTTGTCGAGAACTCGGCCGCGTCCATTAAACCTATGATCTGTAGAGCCATCCGAGAATCTTGGACCAATATGGCGGCTTCGAGAGGTGATAGCTCGTTAAGAAGACTTGGTGCGGTGAGCGATGCCCCAAGTGCCAGTATCTGCTCTGTTGAGGAGGCCAGACGAGTTCTGATCGACATCGCTAACTCTTCCCCGAATAGTTTTGCCCCGCAGGAGAGTAGGAACAGGGCGTTCTCTTCACTGCTGCAAGATAGAGCTGCTTGTAAGGGGGTTCTACCCAACTGGCCTACACATATGGTTTCATGAAAGAAGCCCGAGGTGATCACCTCGCGTCTTCGGTAGCGGCGAGGGCCTTCGGCATAATCTCCTGCAAGGGGTTGACAGAAATTGATTTCAGCACCGTGATCCAACAAGAGTTTGATGAGTCTTGTATCACCACTGGCTGCGGCGCATTGAAGCGGCGTGGTGAGAATAAAGGAACCGACTTTATTGACCGGGTTAAGTATGGCTCCAAGCTCCAACAGGCGTTCACACAATGAATAGTGGTTCCTAGAAGCTGCAACCCCTAGGACCGACTCTCCAACGAAGTTCATGTAGTTGAGACAGTCTCGGTGCTTAGAGACCCACTTGAAGACCGATTTGCCGCTGGTTTTGACAGAAGTGATGAGAAGTTGAGCAAGAGAGGTTGCACTCTTGAATTTCGATTCGAAAAATTCTAGGATAGGCTCTGTAGCGGAAGAATGAGTTCTCAACCCAAGTTCATTCAGAAGGACGCGAGACATGATCTCGTCATCTTCTTGGTATCGGTAAACATATAGTACCCATCTCGTCATGATCCCGACTGAAGGCTCATGAACGACTTGTGCTGAGCCGAGCGCTGCGATACAAACAATCCGAAGCATTTCAAGGTCGACTGAATGACTGTGTGCGCCAAGTTTTGTTAAGAGCTCGACCATGGTGATATTGAGCGTAAAGACAGCCCAATGAATTGCCCTTGGGGGATGGTGGTGAAACCTTACGGATGTAGGTATAGGTAGGTCGTTCAGAGGAAGGTTGACATCTATTCCTGCTAAGGCCAGGGACTCAATGGTGGCAAGGTCCGAAGCTAGAACCGCTTTTCCGAAAATCTGGCACAATAAAGCCTGAAGGCTGATTGGGAGAGTCTTCAATTCGCGTGATACTAGTAGTTTCCATGCAGTGATATCTCGAAACACTGTCAAAATTGTTTCGTTGATCATGTCTCGGTCGTAAGGTCCTTCATCTAAGTGGTTGCAGAAACCATTGGATAGAAGAAAGACCATGATTTCTAAGGCATCGGAGTCTGCGCATCCGGAAGAGGAGCGTTGCATGAGACTAGTTGCTCTGCGAGCATGGTTGTCTGTCGTTCTCTCAGGCATCAGAAGATAAAGGGCCCGAAAGGTCTGCTGAAGGGTTGGTGTGTAATCCAGTGGTTGTGTTCGCCGTAAGGTAATGCGACCCAGTTCTCTGCCCACAAGAATCGTGGCTGATGGAGAGATACTGCTTTGTATAGGCATGTTTATTGTCAAAGCTGTGTATGTATATGAGCAAGGCAGGCCAGATCTCAGGGAAGGCATTGCCTCAAGCTATAACGCGAACATACCGCTCAAGAGCTGCTGACACTGCAACCAAGGCAGATTCTGTATGGTACAGGAATATCGAGCCTCTTTGATAGGCGATGGAGTTCGGATTATGAGTGGAAAGTCCCTAGGTAACGATGGCGTGGGTATGGCTGGAAAACATTCAGTGAGAGGACAGAGCATTAGCCATCATGATCATGTTTGATCCATCTCCAGGGCATGAGAAGTCGAAAGTTCTTACGTGGTTTGAATTTCTCCACAACTGATGTATGACAGTGCCGCGCTCTTGCTTTCTCCACCGCCGCAGGCCTCAATGGGATTCCAGAGAGATACAGACTGGTCCTCTTCCCGCGGCTTAGTCGCTCGCAAACTCGGACATGGACGCACTTCCATTGTTGGGCGGACATGTTCTTGAACATGTGCCATTCCTTGAGTTTCCATTCTAACTGAGCTTTGCTATGAGAATCTTAGTACCTCGATTTGACGTTGCACTGTGCATAGATTCCTTGGTGGTAGGGTAGGACTTACGATGCGTGAAATTTGTGCATGGTCCTGAGTGCCGTCAAAACGAAGGTCAATGCCATATCTTGCTGTAGATACAGTCGTTGAATGACAGATCTTACCCGCTCCCACTCTGCCTCGCTGATCACAGGATGCCGTTGCCTATGAGACATGGTGGCAGAAGCAGAACGCACAGCATATAAGGTCTTTTGGGGGGTAGAAAGATGGATTCAATGATCTTCCCTGAGTCTGGGCTACGGTATGGAGGGAATTTCGATAGCGAGATGTGGAAAGTATATGTCCCATGCTTTCGGATGGATTTACTTGAGGTTCAAATACATGGGCACACGAGGCGGCATACAGAGTAAATGCGACTGTTGATTGGACTGGCCCGAAATCCGATTCAGCTTTTCCCTCCACCGCGTGCGGCATCAAGCAGACCGTTGGTTTCTGGGCAGCTTGGTCGTGATTGGGTACTTCCAAAATCTGGTTCGGTGTAAGCCCAGCCCCAACCTGGCCTCGGCGAGTAGAAGATGCAGGAAGAATGCACTTTGCTGCTGACCGGCACATTTCTTAGAGCCTGCCGAAAAAGTCATCATGCTTAGTCCCTCGATTCATGATGTGGACACTCCTCATTGGGCGTTGCCAGTTCCTGATTGAACCTCTGTCACTGGTGTTGCTCATCGCAGATTCAAGCACTCAGGGTCGCTCTTGGCTGTTTTGATTCTTCGGCGATCCAGTTGGAACGTCTCTTGTAGTCTATCAGGTACCTTAGTCAAGACTGGTGTGTAGGCATTACGATATTATGTCATATTTCTTAAGTGCACTCTCCGCCGAGCCCCGTCTAAGGCGCCCCTTTCACTGACTACCTATCTATTTGGACAACCAGGCAACAAGCGCGTCATGGAACTCCTCTGGTTGGGAGATCTGAGGCGCGTGGCCAAGCGTGGGGAAGGTGTGAAGAGTCGCGTTGGGGATCTGGGCAGCAACAGCAGGACCGAGGGCAGCAAAGTTACCCAGCTTAGCAGCGACGTCGGGAGGAGACCACTGCTTTCCGATGGCGGTGTTGTCCTTCTCGCCGATCATGAGCAGGGTGCGGGGCTTGATGAGAGAGAACTCGTAGCTGACGGGCTGCGTGAGGACGAGGTCGACGATCTGGGCCTGATTGAGCGCATAGGTGTCGGCCTTGGAACCCTTGTAGATGTTGACCAGCATGTTGACCCAGGTGTCGTACTCGTCCTTCCACTCTCCGACGTAGTAGGTCGCCTGCTCGTATTCCTTGATAGAGGCGTAGGAGCTGGCGCGCTCCGTCACGTAGTTGTCGTCGATGGGGAGGTAGGGGACGCCGAGCGCCTTGTAGTCTTCGAGGCCGACGGGGTTGACGAGGACCATCTCGTCGACCTCGTCGGGGAACATCAGACCGTAACGGGTAGTGAGCATACCGCCGAGGGAGTGGCCCATGACGGTAGCACTCTCGATGCCAAGGGTCTTTAAGAGTCTGTTGGTGTTGGTCGCGAATTGCTGCAGAGAGAACTGGTAGCGCTCAGGCTTGGATGACTTGCAGAAGCCGATCTGGTCCGGGGCAATGACGCGGTAGCCGGACTGAGCGAGGACGCGGATGGTGGTCTCCCACGTCGGGCCGCAAAAGTTCTTGCCATGGAAGAGGACGGCAGTCTTTCCATTGGGAGCGCACTTTGGCTTGATGTCCATGAAGGCCATCTCCAGCTCCTGCAGCTGGGAGGTGAACTTGTACAGCTTGACGGGCCATGGGTAGGTGAAGTTGGAGCCGTTGAGGTCTTCGGGGAAGGAGTCGGAGTTGTCGTCAATTGTGCCCTGGGCGGACACGAGAGCGACGCCGGCCGCGGCGAGGGCGGTGATGACGGAGAAGACCTTCATTCTGACGAACCTAGGTAGGGTTAGCTACGTGGATACTGGGTGAAGTGCCGCATGAGAACTCTCATCGTGCCATTGACAATGTGGATAGCCGACGGAGGTGTGTAACAGCCAGGTTACCACGGCGACAACCAGACAATCAAATAAACGAACAAACAGACTCCTATTCATCATGAAGTTTCAAACAACTTCATTGTGGAATGCGACCGCAGCAAGACTCTACCAGACCGCATAGACTTGGGCTGGCTTCGATTGAGGAATTGACGCAAAGTGAAGCTTACTTACTTAGTAGCGATGACAACTCGACTTCAACTCTGCCAGAGATACCCGTTGACCTGAGCAAAGTGCCAACACCTGGTGCGTGCGAGCGGAAGATCATTTCGCGACTTGTAACCCAGGATGGGCGCCGTCTGTTTATATTGCGAAGGTAGCTCGGACAAGTTGCCGGGAACCAACACGTGTGTTGGAGCACATGGCGGGCATGCAAGGCATGGAATAGCTGCAATATGCACAGAAAAGATGGAGAAGTGAGGGAGGGAGGGTGAGAGGGAGGGATGGAGGAAGACCGAAGCCAGTCATGACGCCGTGCCTCTTTGGGCCGCACAACTGCGTAAGGCGAGATCCATATTCGATGGCTTCGACACTCTAATCTCCGCTGTCCAGTGGGCCTGACAGCTTCGGCTCCGCTGGCGAGTATGCCCCGGACGGTGAGGTGGGTTGGCGCTATTTCTTCATATCGGGTGCTGCGCCGTTCAAGCCGGCCGCTGAGGATACGGCCCGGGTCGGTGGCGCAGGCGGGTTTGATATGACCTTGTGTCTTGGTTGGACTGAATCAAATTCGATACGTCAATGATTTCTATCGCCATTGGTGTGTGGTCGCCGTAGACTTGGCCACCGATCCGTGAGTTACGATAGTAAACATGGCGGATGGACTGGTAACATCGACGGTTGACTGAGGTAAGGTAGGATCTGACGTCGTTCGCGTAATTCTAGCGATGACTTGCCTAGAGAAGCATGCTGAGATCATGACAGTACCAGCAGGATTTCAGCCGGGAATAACGAGATCGAAGGACTTTTGCAGGGCCCTGGTCGTCACCAACACGAGTATGGGAGGGGAGGGTATCTCATACAGAGGCATCCTTGTGAGGTGCGGTGGTGCGCAGTTCTGCTGACCCATGTTCTAGGTCTCAAAGGCGTCCTCACTCCTTAGGGTTTGATCTTCCTGAAGAGGCGCGGTGTCTGTTCTTATCGACCTGCGATGCGCAGCTGAGGCGACAGAAGATTCGGTGATAGACAAGATCGGCGTTGCACAAATCTTTGGTTGCCATTAATGCCAGCCTTCGTCACGATTGCTGTACATGGATCAATCTCACAGACGAACGTTCCCGTAATGTAGATGGGGTTGATTTCATTCGTCCTGCCACACATCCCCGTCCTTCGTCGCAGACCGGCCGAGATCTTGGTTGGTCAGTGCCATGAACTGTCGGTCGAACGTCAATAAGATAGAAGTTTTGCTAAAACAGTCAGGTTGTGGCTCGTAGCTCGTATTCTGTCGGTCTACTGAACCGCCCGTCGTTACGTATTTGCAAATTTCTCTTCGAGATCTCCGCCATGTTCAGGTGAAAGAACACCAGCCTCTTCCGACTTAGACCGCAGCAACTTCATCTTAAGCTGTTGCTGATGACAGGGATGCTTGCATTGGTAGTGCTTCATCCCGGCTATCCGCGGCGGGCGCCAGTGTCCGACCGAAGAACACACAGAGAGAGGGGGAGGGGAAAATCCCTCAGAAGGGTGTCTCGGCCGATGGCACACGGAGCGTAGCTCGCCAGCTTTCATGAACAGTACCATTCTGCTGCCGGGATGCCATGGCACCCATGGTTATCCATTGGACAATTTGACAAGCAGACTTGGGTGCGTGGGATCACAATCCTTCGATCATTTACAATATTTGTTTACCTCATCAGGATGCCTAAATCGGGAAGGCCTAGCGAAGGAGGATTCTTTGCCCTGAGGCCTGCATATCTTCATCGAAAACCACCTAGGAGAACCACAGAACTTGGGTAATGCCAAGTGCGGTTCCTGGAGGCAATCCGCACACACCACGCAGCGAACATCGCTGCCCAGAAAGGAAGCTCAGCGCCGTTGACCGAGAGCTCTATCGAGTGACTGCATCATGAGAGTATCTCGGTGACTAAAGTAACGGCTGCCTTTTCCGTTTGGACGGGTTATCTGTTCGCCAAGTTCAGCCAGGATACCACCTCACCTTAGGTACACTGGATGTCGGACACTTCGTCACCATCACAGCAGCATCGGATGTCAGATCTCAATCGCGGCCGGGTGGTTGCAACGAGAACAGACGGACATCCCACCAAACTGAGTTGGCGGGAGCGGGAACCAGAACGGGACGTTGGCGCCAACAGCCCCCAAGCCCACAAAGCCCCCCTCAAGTCCTCGCAAAGGGACCACAAGGCGGACGATATTGTAGTGGTGTGGTGACATTAGGGCCCAAAGAACGACGGGCCCAGGGCGCACAGACGGGCCTCCGGATGCTACGGATGGGCAGGGAACTTTAAACGAACCTGTGTGATGGTCGCATGCAACTTCAGTTTACCCAAGATGAACTGCAAGCCACAACGAAAACTCAATGGCAAGTAACATTCCGAAGTGCCCATCGAAGGATCTAGTCGACGCCAACAGCCGGACTGCGGCGTTTCTTATACGTGGTACAAGTCAATAGTGGCGTAGCCTCATGACGAGTTCCAACAAAGATTATTAGCATGAAAAGCCTCTGATGAGTGAGCTGATTTTGTCGGACCAACAAGGGGAAAAGCCATTCAGCTTATGCGAAGAGGACCACCGGAATCCGCTACAGAACCCCATAAACCCTCCACGCCCCGTCTCCTCATCCGACAGAACGTCTGACCATGGATCTGGTGGATGTTGAAGATTTTGACGAGGAAAAAGAAAGCAACGGAATCGATTCCTTCGACATGTGAAATCCTGTACTCCGTTTAGGACCACTGGT